GTATGGTATATCCGTGAGAATCACGTTTTCTATCTGTAGTCAATAAAGATGCGTGGACATCTGTGAGTCTGTAACTTAGCCCCCCGACGATCTCCATCACTCCTCAGATAGGCCCTCTTTTCCATTCATGGTGCAAGGAGGCTGCTGATGCTGGACTCCTCATTTAGCACCTTMAGRTACAGCCTTACAGTTCAATCATATGGAGCCAGGTTTATATCTGTAACACTACAGCAGGTAATACCTAATGGGTTTCCTCAAAGTATTAGCTAAATGSCTGGTTTACAAGCCTTGTAAGCCACTGGTGGACAGAAAGAGCTGCATTTAAAGACTTGTTATCTCACTGAATAAAGACAGGCTTATAATGGTTAAATGGTTTTGAAAGATAATACTTTAACTCAAGTGAGAATTAGATTTATCAGCAATAGCTCTTGTTTTGAGTATTTAAAGCAGTATAATCAACAGCAAACTGTRGTCTCCTTCAATCAAATATAAGCTGTGCTATTTTTCCCGCTTGCAACATACATGCAGAGCAGGAGGGGGAAAAAATCTCCAGGGCTTCTCATGACTTTAATTTGYCTCAAATTTATGAGTACTAAAATCTACTTCATGAAGTGCACATYCAAGGAGGTATTAGCCACCCTTCTAGTGCATTTCAAACATTTAATTGCAATCTGTATAACAAATGCGACTGAGACTTTGGATATTTTTTGTTTGTTTGTTCTGCTTTCCTTCTGGGATATGTTGTCTATTTCAAGTCTCCTCAGCAGATCCCGACATCAAATCTGGATTTATGTGAAACAAAAGATGATTTTCTATCATTGATAATAAATGATAGTGTTAGGAAATGTGAAACAAGTAGCAGATATACACTCACAGGCCACCACTTAAAAAATAATGTTGACCAATAAYCATATTAATAGCAATGGTACTATTTCTTGGGGAACTGAAGCCAATTCTCAGTACATTACAAGAGATATCTCCCAGTTTTAGGAGATATTTCTTTATTACGTTTTATAATTTGAAAATAGTTTAATTAAAAGAAGAAAGATACAAGTTTTATTATCAACAATATGTAATTAAACCTTATAAAACAATTAGAATCTGCCTGCCTCCACTATAACCAAATGCCATTTAGAGTCCAGTTTGATGGTACCTGTAAACAGGTACAACAGCTCTGTGCTTGCCTCGGTTGTTTTTAAAATGGGGTGTGATCCGGTGACTCTAAGTGGCTCTGAACATAGTAATAAAGCATCATCTGTTACACAATAACTCTTTACTGTATTTAAAAAAAAAAAAGTAACATTCCCTCTTCATCACTTAGAGTAACTCTAAACGTCCTTCCATCGTTGTCAGTAGACACCTAGCCATTAATCAATCATGCTGAGTATTTGGCAGTAAACTCTGTGCATGAGCGGACATAAAGTGAAAGCAGCAGCATCATGTCAAATGATGAAACTATTTCTGCTAGACAAAATAGAAATAGTTACTCATTGCCTGTGAGATATGTGTAACCCAGTGGTTTTCCTCAAACCTCCAGAGCAAGCAACACCAAAGGAGGACAAACTGCTCAGGTGTTTTTTTTCTCATTCACATAACATATCTTAAAATCAACAATGCCAAAGCAGGTGTAACGTACCGCCAGGTGACAAGCACCACACGTTTAGCAGCCCAGCAAGTCTCTGCTGAAATCATGCCTTGGTAAACAAAATGCATAGGTTGATTTAATGGAGGAAAAAATCCACAGTAGAAAAAGGGAATTTAAGAGCACTGTTTTGTACCTCAAAGAGAAGAGCAGAGATTGATCTAGCTGCATTATCCAGCTACAGCAAATCATATGCAAGGAAAGGCACACCTTTAGCAGACTAACTCTGACAAATACCTAAATACCAAGGCTTATACAACAGTTAAGCCACACTTAAGCTCTATTTCAAGAACTCCCTGTCATACATGAGTCTTGGACTGGGTATCAGCTCAGGAATGAATCATACAGACAGGAATAGAAATAGTAACTATTAGATGGCACTGAGAGAATGGTACAGGTTTGCTATGTAGAACATACTGAGCGGAAAACAGAAAAGTTATGGAGACAGAACTTTTTTCAGATAATCTCATTTTTGATTTTTTGTTTAGCTGTTCTATTGAAAATGAATTTTTAAAAAATAGGAATGTGAAAATCTGGTAATTTGAAACATCACCCATACAAAAAAATTAATCAAATTGCATGAAAAAGGACAACAAAAAATATGGCAAAATAAAGCAGCTGATAATAATTGATTTAATAGCAAATTTTATAAATTCATTTTGCATCCTTTCTTAGTGATGAATTACCAGTTCCTGTTTTACCTATGTGTCTATATTTGTGAATTTTATCAGACCCCAATTATCTTTAGAACTTGAAGTCAGCTGAAGAACTTGAAGACAATTTCCCCACAAACTAATACATCTGGCTCTCTAATCAACAAGTATCTTTGATTGTTCTTCTTCTGAAATATTTAACACTTGTCAGGGAGTTTATGTCCCCACCTGGGCTGTRAGCTCTCCTGCAAGAAATAGAAGCCTTAGGGGATAAAGCCTGTTTGGAGGGGGCGTTAAAAAAAAAAAAAAAAAAAAGAGCTATTTCTTCCTAGAAAGAACAAACGGATGAATAATGTTTACTCTGTGTTATTATGTCATAAATTAAAAACTTGTCATTCTTCTAAGATGTGTGAAATAAAACAAGTATATCCAACAGTGGAACTCAGAAAAAAAACATGAACTTGAAATTGAGACTAAAAAGCTTTTGGAGGACAAGATTTTCTGTAACTGTGCATTATACAGGTCACACTCTCGAAAAATACTCACAGTATAATGCTTTAGTTTTCCTGTAAGGAAAACAAAAATAAAAGAAAGCAAGGAAGTATTTTTTTATCCATTTATCCCATAATCAACTGAGCTGATTAAAGCAATGCTGTCAAAATTAGGCTTTGCAATCTAGATTTACTTAGTTGAGGTTTAAGCAAAAGGCTTCTTCTGTCTTATAGGTATGGCAATTTTCAATTTAGCTGTACCTTCTGATGCTTTTGTGATTTAACTTCTAGAGATCAGGTCTGAAACAACAGCAGAGTACTAATACACAGGCAAACAGCTAATTAAACTGTAGCTCTGTCACTTTGGTTCAAGAGAACAACACTGCAATAGACAGACTTAATCAAGCTCTGAAGACCAATGCTGAAAAGGAACATGAAAGCTTTAAATTGTATTGTTATCAGCAATAAAGGAATAGGAAATATTTCAAAGGGCTCAATCCCCTCTCTAAACTGGCACTGTAATCCTGCCCAATGGCAATAAATAATTTCACTACTAGTCATGTCTCTATTACAGAGAAATGTCTCCTTTTGTTATAATTTTTATATGCTTTKTATGGTTTATAAACATAGGAAAAACTGTTTAGGGACTTTACCAAACATAATCTTTGCAGGTTGTTCCATTAGCCAGATAGCCTAGGGAACACTGTACTGTGGCATTTCTCATAATTACCCCAGTGCCACACAGCAGCGCTTCACAGCGCCGACCTGTCCAGCAGTATCATTGTGGGAGCACACTATGGAGAATGCCCCCCAAATTAATTATTCTGTAGGTGTGATCTTTCTGTGTGATGTCTGTGTATTTTTTGTGACAGATGCCACATCACCTACATTTAATGGAAAATACTACTCTGGTAGAGCTGGATTATGGCATGCACTAGATGATGTCTGGAAAGCCTTTCTTCGCCATATTTCCTATGATATTAATTTCTCACTGATTGTTCCTTAGGCTATTTAGCCAAGGATAAATATTTAGCTACTATATTAGCCTAACCAATATTTAGCCTAACCAACTGCCTGGAAACAATACACAAATCAACAGTACTGCTACCTAAACATGAGCTCAACATCTAATAATTATTTTGTCCACAACGCTTTGAGGAGATTTGCTCTTCCTGCACTCCATGCACTTTTTCAGGCTGCTTAATTTCTTTTTAAAAGACTACCTGGATACCGATGTACGTTGCGCCCTCTGAGCACAAAACCTAGCTAGTGCTAGCCTGGTATTGTTGCCATTTATGCTAAAGCTACCGTGGCAACACCAGAGCAATTTGTGGTGCACAAAATCCTTCGGGCTCCCCAACTATTTGCTCCTGTGCCCTGCGAGCAGGGAACAACCCGCCCCCCGCTCAACCGCCCCCCGCTCAACCGCCCCC